AGCCCCGCCCCTCCTAAGCCCGGCGCCTCCTCAGCTCCTGCCCTCTCCTAGGGTCGGTCCATCCCTCGGGGCGCCCCTCTCCCCAGAAGGCTGCACCCTTTCCTCTGGCCGCAACCTGGAGGCCTCCTCCCCCCCGCCCCCCGGGACTGGCCCACTCCTACTTCCGGGGACCCGCCGATGGCCGCGCTCGTGAGGCTCCGGGACACCACCTGTGGCGACCGCGGGAGAAGAGGCGCGTCGGGGACCCGCTCCGCGGAGACGCCGCTCCCGCCGGGCCCCGCCCGCGTCCTTACCTCGTTGTACGCGGAGAAATCCAGCACGGCCAGCACCGGGGCCGAGGAGGCGACCGCGGCGAAGAGGAGATGCGGGAACTGGGGAGGAGAAATCGTCAGGCCGGGCGCGGGCTGGGACTGCTGACCGCTGACCGCTGACCGCTGACCGCTGACCTCCGCCCTGTGCCACGCGCTCCCCGCGCGGCCCGGGCGAGTCGCTCTCGCTGTACCCCAGACCCTTGTGGAGACAGCTGGGGAAAGCCCTTCTAGGGGGGGAAAGGGTGGGGAGGGGGGTCNGAGGGGGGTCCTATCCCCTGGGGTGGGGACCCCGAGTCCACCCCCCGTCCGCCCAGAGGAGTCCCGCGACCTTCAGCCGCGCCCAGGCGGCCAGGGAGCCGGCGTAGGAGCCTCCGAAGCAGACCCAGGGGCTGGAGGCGGAGACGTTGAGGAGGCGGGAGAGCGCGAGGCGCGCGGAGACCACGTCGGCCAGCCTGGGGTCGGGGGAGGCGGGTCGGCCGTCTCGGGAAGCCCGGAGGCCCCCGTCCGTGCAGGCGGGGAGGGGCCTGGCCAGAAGCCGGGGCCCTTCCCTCGCGAGGACTTCTGCCGACTATCCGCACGTCCATGGCCGCCGGCGGCTGGGCGGGCGGAGACCTTTTGGGAAGCCTGCGCCCTCCTTTCCTTCCGTATTAGGCGGGAGAGGAAAACTCTCCTGGCAGTTTAGGGGGAAACCTGACATGCATAAAAGGGCTTGGGGACAGTCAGGCAGAGTTCGCCAGGAGGCGGAGGGGCCCCAGGCT